ACGTCCTCCAAAATTGGCCTTATTCACTTCCATTGTAAGTGCCTCACCATAACCCATCTTTTATCTATTTTTACCCCTTTTTTGTGTGAGTGAGTCAAAATATATTTATTTTTTGTGTTAATCACTATTATGCCACAAATGCATTCAGTTGAGCTTAACTTATACTGAATCCATACATTGTCTTTAATGTCAAATCCAGGAGCTGCTAGGGCCAGTGCTGGGTTCAAGCCAAAGCAACTTGATCTTGAGGCTACGCAGGCATATGGCACAGAGACAGACAGAGAGGAAGATCAGGAGGAGCCACTGAGCCATACCCAAGTCTACTCCAACCTCTCCACTGCTGAAACGCAGTTCATTCCTGTAGCAAATATGGAGGAGGAGAACGAAGAGACACCTAATTACTCTCACCTTTCCACAGCAGACACTGTAATCATTGCCAGCACCCCAAGACAGGAAGAGCAGACACAGCCCTTTTTTTTCTTCACAACTCAAACGCAACCCATCTGGGAGGGAGAAGACAAAGAGTTTTATCAGAGTGAGCCCACCCAGCTCATGGAGGCAGACACCATCAATGAAACGCAAGAGGGTGAAGAGGAGGAGAACATGAAACAAGGTGGGAGAATCCATGGTGGAGAAAAAGTACACAAAGGTAAACACTCCAGCTCTTATCTTGTCATTGCTGAAACTCAGCCCATGTGTGAGGAAGAAGAAGCAACAGATGTTGATCTGAGTGGGGACAGCTTTCAGAAACCAAGCACAAGAAAACAGCCTGAGAAATGTGATTCTGCACATCTTGATGAAAACAACTCCTGCTCCCATGTCACCATAGCTGAAACACAACCAATGGGTGATGATAATGAAGTACCAGATCAGGACAATGTGATCTGCAGTACTCATTCAGAAAAACCTACCAGGTCCCATATCACCATCGCTGAAACTCAACCAATGTTTGAGGAAGACCAAGCACCAGAGGATGATCTGAAGAATCATCTGAAGGTCAGTAGAAGACAAACTAACAAAGGCGAACCCATCCAACAGACTGAAAAAGCCTCTACTTCCAGTCTTGAAATCCCTGAAACACAACATGTTGGTGAAGATGATGAAGAGCAGGAGAAACTCCTCAACAGCAAGATGCCTAGCAGAAGATCACGCAGAGGTAGACCAAAAAAAGAAAAGGAAGCCTCACAACCTGCTGAGAATGTTGTCCATCACACTATGACAGAAACGCAGCTGATGTGTGAGGAGGGACAAGCATCGGATGAAGATCTGAAGAGTGGGATCAACAATGCGGTACCAAGTACAGGACAACAAACAGATGAATTCAGATCTCCAGAGCTTGCTCAAACAGGCTTAAAATCCTGTGTCACTATTGCTGAAACTCAACCTATGTGTGAAGAAGAACCATGTGAAGATCTGACTAAGGAAGTTAGCACAGGCCAGATAGATGAACACAACTCCACAGAACTCCTAAAAACCTCCAGCTCCCATTTCATTGTAGCTGAAACACAGCCTATGCATGAGGAAGATGAAGGACAGGAGAAACACCTTAGCAGTAAAACGTCAAGCAGAAGATCACGCAGAGGAAAAGCAAAGAAAGACAGCGAAGTTCCACAAACTTCTGAGGTTGCTGTTCATCACACTATCACAGAAACCCAACCAGTTCCTGAGGAAGTGATTGAAAGAGATGAAGATCTGAGCAGTGGAATCAAATCCAGGAGATCCCGAAGGGGAAGACAGATAAACGAGGACAGCGTTCCACAACCTCCTGAAGCTGCCGTCAGTTCCCTTTCCACTATCACAGAAACACTGCCTGTTTGTGACGATGGAACTGGAAGGGATGAAAATCTGAGTATCATCAGATCCAAAAGATCTCACAGAGGAAAAAAAGTAGATGAAGGTGAACCAGCACAGTCTGTTGAACCAAACTCTGATTTCATGGTTGTTGAAACACAGCCCATGTGTGAGGAAAGCGCTCAAGAAGAACCTAGTGGCAGAAGTAGCAGGAGACCTAGGAAAGACAAGACAGAGGTGGAGAGTGAGACACCTTCATCTGGCAAAGTCCAAAGTAAAACCAGAAAAGGGAAAGAAGGGAAAATAAAGAGGGGGAAAGCATTGTCTGAGGAAGAGGGAGAGAGTGAAGAGGAAAAAACTGTGAGGAGAGGAACCAGAAGAACAGGTATAAAACATAAGTGTAGTGAAAAGGAAGAAGAGGAAAGATTGGAGGAGAGAAATGCCCAAGCAGAGAAACAGAGGATGGAGAAAGAGCTCCAAGAACAGGAGGAGCGAGATAGGGTAGAGAGAAAAGAAAAGGAGAGACTGGAGCGTGAGAGAAAGGAACAAGAAGAGAGGGAAAAGGCTGAAACTGAAATGAGGCAAAAACTGGAAAGAGAGCAGCGGGAATTAGAGGAAAAACAACGACTGAAAAGGGAAGAGGAAAAAATAAGAAAAGAAAATGAGAGAATACAGAGGGAAAAAGAGGAAAAGGATCGTTTAGAAAAAGAAGAGAAGGAAAAGTTGGAGAGAGAGAGTAGAGAACGAGAAGAACAAAGACAAAAAGAAGAAGAAAGAATTCAAATGGAGAAGGAACAAAAAGAGAAGGAAAGATTAGCGGCAGAGAGAGAACAATTAGAAAAGGAGAAAGAAGAAAATGAGGATCTTGAGATGAGAGCAAGAGAACAAAAAGAAACGGAAGATGGGAACCATCAGGAAGCAGAAAAGAATGATGGATTGGAGAAGGACAAAACAGAATTGGAAACTCCTCTTGTTCCTCCTGCCAGACGATCACGGCGTTGTTCAAGCTCCTCTATAAACTCGGAACAATCTGTATCCTCACAACAGGAGCCATCCATCCAGAGAGGGCGAGGCGAGGCAGGGGACGGGGTCGGGGCCGGGGCCGAGGAAGACAGACAACTAATGAGCAACCAATCAGTGCTAGACAGTCTAGCCAGAGAGGAGTAGCTATTGAAGTAGAAGACAAAGAGCTAGACCTCAATTCAACAACCCGTTCCCGATCCCGCTCCAGTTCTAGAAGTTCTGAGAGATCTGCTAATAGTTTCATAACGTCAAACGAAGGGACGAGGGGAAGAGGCAGAGGCAGGAAGAGTGTGAAGCTACAAGAACCGCAGGAAGTTTCCCAAGCTAAAACTTCTGGGAAAGGCAGGGGGAGAAGAGGCAGGCATTCTGGTGTGGAGAATGTAAATGTCGAAATGAGCCATGAGCTTGAACAAGATGCAGAGATGGTAAATGAGACTGCTGTACCCCAAAGCAACAGCAGAGGTCGCAAGAGAGCAGCCACCACTAGCACATCCACAGAAGAGGCTCCGTCACCCACGCCCAAGACTCCAAGGCGCTCTGTTTCCAGTCAGGCGTACAAGGTCACACACCCTCAGATATAGACATTAACTAGCAAGTTTTGTCACTGTGTGGTTGACACCAATCTGTCCTCTTCTTTTTTAGGTGTTATTCACTGGGCTGACGGATGATGATGGAGAAAAAGTGGTCTCTCAATTGGGTGGAAGTCTGGCGAGAGGGGTGAACGATATGACTCAACTGGTGACTGATAAAGCAAGACGCACTGTCAAGTTTTTGTGCGCCGTTGCCAGAGGGGTGCCAATCGTGAATCCTGATTGGCTAAAGAAGGTGAGGGAGTGATTATTACAGAAAGGTCCTGATTCAAACCAAGCCAAACCTAAAAAAACACAATCTTTATCTGACTTTTCTTCCATAAACTCCATATGTTGGTTTGATATGTTTTTATATGCATTGTGAGGTGTTCTCAAACATTGAAAATGGTTCTGTTTTGGGTGAAAATATACAAAAAAAAAATGTACAACAGTGCCACTCCTGGTCAAGAATATTTTTTTTATGGTATTGAGTAACTGTTTAAGGGTTTATACCTCTATAATTAAAGTCTAACAATTACATATTACAGACTTTATTTTGAACTTTAATTAGAATTTTAATGTGGCAACGTGCTCTTTTTATACCCCAGTGTGGAAAAGTTGGGCATTTCCTTTCTACTGATGAATACATATTGAAAGATGTCGAGCAAGAGAAGAAGTTTAGTTTCAGCCTAAAGAAGACACTGCAAACTGCTCAAAGTCAACCTCTTTTAAAGGTTAGTCCATGACAAGTTCTTCCGCCTTTGTGTATCAAGCCCAAAGTTTTCTATTTCCATCACACATATTCTCTCCTCTAATTTTGCTTTTATAGGGTTATGAGATTCATGTAACCCCATCTGTGATGCCAGAACCATCTCAAATGAAAGAAATCATCACCTGCTGTGGTGCACGTTTCCTCCCTAAAATGCCTTCTGCTCAGAAGGTACCCAGAACTAATGCATATATTCTCTTATTTTAATGCATATACTACATATTCCCATATATCATTGTGGTTTCTCCCTCTCTATTCAGAAGAACACTGTGGTGGTGTCATGTGAACAGGACAGGGCACTTTGTCAGAAGGCAGTGAGTATGTCATTGCCTGTGGTCAGCACAGAGTTCCTATTGACTGGTATTCTGCAGCAGAGAGTTGACCTGCAGGCCTATTCTCTCACTTCCTCTCTCAACACATCCAATCAGCCTGCAGCCCCCAAAGCTGCTGCCAGGGGCCGTAGGAAGTAGTGACAATGACAGAAAAGGACTTTCCTTGTAATACATTTGTGTAGAAGACAGAATCTGTTTTATGCACAAACCTTTAAGTTTGGATCGCGCAAGCTGAAAATGTGACACATTACATCCCAGTTTTATGAAGAATGAAATTAATTAGATGGCTTGTAACCACACACCCACCGATTCCTGTGAATGTGAGAGATGGAGAGAGTGTGAGGTGGCTGTCGATGAATGATGAGTTTGTTAGTGAAGGGAGAATGAGCTTCTCTAATTTTGTATGTAATATTTCAATAAACACTTTCTAAGCCAAAATACAGAGGCATTGTGGATTTGTGCCCTTTTAGTGTTTAAAAAGCTGTTGATCAATGGAAGCAAAATGCAGATAAACCGGCAAAAAGGTCTAGTGCACATTCTTATTCATAGGGGCGTTGGTCTCAGTGATGGATCGATCTGAAGAACACCTTAAAGACCTTCACGTCGGTTCTGCAAAGGTTGTCTGAGTGTGCTCGGATCCGTTGACACGCCCATAAGGGGTTGAAGCGCCGGGCTTTACGGAGCGCACTCGAGACGCGGCGAGATACCGGACAGATTCCTGAGGTGCAATTTAGTCCGAGGTGGAAAAGAAGCAGAAAGGGAAGAATAACGGAATTTTCCCCCTTTTTTCACTCTATTACTCGAGGAGCATATTGAAGGTGAGCTGTGAACACGGTAAGAGAGAATATTAATTTTGCGGCAGGGATGTCATAAACGGGCAGCTGGCTTTGGGATGCAGGAAGGATGCAGGAATTTAAGGGTTAAATTCTGCAGTTTCTGCTTCGTCTGGTACTTTTCCAATTGGATAAAGTTGATGTTTGCTGTTGGAACGCGAATACATAAGGCGCAAGATTCCTATTTAAAGGTTTAGAAGAGCATTAGGCTTGTTGAAGAAATTTGTGGTCGGTTAACTGCATAGCATAAATGCCTAGTCAGCTCGCGAGTGCAGGTTAATCCTGTATATCAAATGTTTCCATTAAAATATGCTTTTGTGGTGAAATTACCGAAAATTAAAATGAGAATTAGACTTATTTGTCGTGATGAGCTCGAAAAAGAACAGTTGTACAATAACATTAATATTCTAAATTGTATAGCATGTAGTATAGGCTAATTCTTATTTAAGCCTAATTTTGCCGGTTGATTGCGGTGTATTTCATTTCGTCGTCTGTGCACTAACCCGAACATGTGTGGGCGATCATTCTCATCGTGAGACCGAGAGAAAATTTGTTTGACTGGCAAATAGTTTTATGATTGGGAGGTGATAAGATCATCGGAAGGTTTCTTCTGAAATCGCGGGGAGATGCGATATATGTCAAGCTTTCGCCGCCCCCGCTGCTCTGTCTTAAAACCTATTCAGATGCTCATCTATACGCCATATTTTTAACCATAATGATGCCCCAAAATGGTGCCTAGGTAGACAGCTCACTAGGTTGTAAGACACAGCCATGATCTCATCGCCTTTCATGTCATACATCAGACCATTCTAACTAACGTTACATTATCACCTTTTGAACTAATAGTCTGGTTTAAGGCTTTAAAATATATTATGATCCAAGAGTCTGAATGAAATAACATGGAAGTAATTTCCAGATGCCCAGTCATGGTCTCTTAGGAGATGACCTGCTTTCAACATCAATAACCACATATGAAATAGTCATACAGCACCTCTCCAAAGGTTGAGCTTGATTTCCCTGAGCCCCTATTTATCATTTTTTTATTTCCCTGGTTTACACAGCCTGCTTCTAGCATAATTAACCAATTTATGATATTGCAGTTCATATAATCTATCTGCAGCAAGCTTTGTTGCATTGCACTCAGGAGAACTGCATCTTAATGTATTTGAGCACCCGGTCTGCATTTCTGCCTCCTTGTTGCCCATGTCTTATATGAGAGGAACTGTGAGGTTGCTGTAAGAGGTGTCATACTGAGAGGGAGGGAGGGAAATGATGTAAGTGGACCAGATGGCACTTTGTCCATATGAAACTAAAAAAGCGCCGACGCATACACATCGGCACTGTCCAGAGATAGAAAAATATATACTTATTTGCTTTTTTCCCATTTTTGCAACTAAATGACAATAAAACGTTCATATGAAATATTCATACGTCTGAGCAGAAATCTGTTATGAAATCACTGAATGGCCTAAATGCCTCTTCTGTTCTGGATGCTTGCCTTGCTGTCTGGCCTGGCAAAGGTTTTCTTAGGAATCTTGCTATGTCATTATTTGTGAAGTGCCAGCTCATTTCAGACTGTTAATGATTGTGTTTGTCCTGATATTTCCACATTACTGATCATGATACCTATATTTATGATGCCATCTTTACAATTAATGAATATCATACTACTTAAATTATATATTTAAGTTTAATTGTAAGTATAAAGTACAGTTTGTGTACAAAATATGGGTTTCCACAGTCATTAGAAAATCTGGAAATATCAGGGAATGTTAAAATTTTTATATCCTGGGCCCGGCCTGTAAATGTCATGAAAATAATTACCTAAATTAATTATCTTTAAAGATATAATTATCTTTTATTCAAAACGAATAAATAATTCCAATTTATTATATAATATATATATATATATATATATATAGGCTGAGTTTAAACATCTGTTATTCACTTTTAAATATCGATCATTATAATTTTGTATTTTTTGTATTATATTTTATTTATGCTTTCATCTTCCAATAAGTCCCTACTCTTCTGTTTAACACCACATTTAAATCACAGAAAATGCAGAAAAGTTGTGTAAAAATCATGGAATTTCTTTGGGATGTAACATGGATTTTTGTAGAACAAACCAGGCTAACAGATAGATTCAGTCTTATTTCCTCCCGCATTTTTAATGTCTTCAGTCATTATAATCCTGTCCTGATTTAATTATGGAGATAATGATCCATCCAAATGATGTCATGTTTCTCATTCCATGTGCAGTTCATACAGACAAACTCACACACAGCACTGCATCTGAAAGCATAATTTCTCATGTAAATGCTTGACTAATGTAATTTATTGGTGATGAATCTTAACTGGGAATCTCAATAAGCTGACTGTTCTTACTATTCCTCTGAGATACCAGATCAATGTCAGTTCGATAAGCAATGTACAAAAACAGCCTAGCACTTTTAAGAGGCTCATTCCTCAACACAGCCCGCCCCTTTTAGATCCTTGGACTGATGATCAGAGCTCACACATCTCCCATAAAAGCTGAAAAACATAGATGTATGTCTAACATTAACATAAACGGACTTGTTTTATAGTCACACCCAAGATTTTCAAGTCCACATCAAAGCACTCAATCGACCTGTGTCCATTTGCCAACACTGCCATTTTGATCATTGTTGTGCTTTTCTATAGCCGGAATTTGAGAGCAATTTTGAGCAATGTACCATGAAACTTAATTACAATGTCAGAGTTAAGAATTGAAATCCTCATTGAATGCAAATGTAATTTTCATTTGTGAATGTTTTTAGAGCCAATATGCAGAATCTGAGATTGCTCGTCTTAAGCGTGCTGTTCTACTCAGGTAAGAAAGAGTCCTTGTGAATCTTTTGAGTGGTTGATCTTCTGTATCATAATTATCCCTACACAAGTGTGGAAGTGTTAAGGACAGTGGCTCTGACATGCTAATAGCTATTGTAGTTCTTTAATTACAGTCCTGATCCACAATGCATCTTCTATCTAATGTTCTCAGTTCTGAATGTACTTTGTACCAGGTTGGATGGACTGTGTACTGTACATACATAGATTTTAGTTATGAATATCTGACCACATGACACGTAATATTAAATGTGCCATCTATAATGAATTTATTTAGCATATTTTACGTAACAAAGTGGGTCGTTTTCATACATACGTACTAAATTATGTATTGAGTCATTCTGTCACTGTGTCAATTTAACCAGAGGTCTTTGGCTCAAATATTTTTTTTCTAAAGACAAAAAGCCAAAATATTAAATGTCACAGATGTGTATTTGTACTGTAATGGAGTAATCCACTATTTTGTACCTGAGATTTAAAGTCAATTTATGTTTTAAGTCAATGGCAGCAGCATTATTTTATTTTTACACAGAGATTGGTTGGTCTATTAGTAAATCTGTTGAATATTTGTTGCATTATATGCCAATGGTGACATTTCAAAAATGGGAAAAACCTTGTGTTTTATTTTATTTTATTTTTTTGCACCAAGTTTGTATGCCTGTAACTCGAGAATGATTAAAGATCTTAAAATGCTTTTAGATTCTTGTAGTTAACAAACTTTTCTTTTAGTATCTTAATTTTTAATACCCAATGTGGTTAATTTCCAGAGATATGGGGATTTCAATGTGTCTTCATGAATAAATTGATAATTTGAAGGTAGCCTACATATTTTCAGTGATCAAAAACTAAATGTGGGTTACTTTGAATTATTGATACTTTTTCTTTTAAAGAGGAATATAGAACAAATAATGTTGAAACTATTTTCTTTCAATCAACATAATTACATAGAACATACTGTTTGTGACTGAGTGCCAAAAATATTAATTTTCCCAGGTTTGCATGCCTGTAACTCAAGAAGTATTCAATATATCTCATATCTTATTATTCTTAAATTTTCATTTGTAATCTTAATTTTGAATGCCCTGTATGGTTCAATCCCATTGATATGGGGATCTCAATGCAGCTCCATGTTTAAACTGTTGAAGTTTAACCATTATAAATGGTCAAAAACAAAATTTGGTTAAACAGCTGATACTTTTGTATGCTACTTTTGTATCATACTGTGTTTAAAGAAGAATGTCTGAAAAAAAAAAAAACAAATGATGTTGAAACTAGAAATGCATCTCCTTTCCTTCTATCAAAAACAATTTCATACAACATAGCTCTCTTAAAATGCCATCTTCCTAAAATGTTTTTCCCGATATTTCAACTTCATTTTGACAATTTTCAGCCATATAGTTTTTCACTTAATATTTTAGCTTGGTCAGATGTGCTCTTTAACTAAATGGCATTTGTCCTAAAAAAAAAAAATGTTCCAATAAACCTAAAAACAGTAGACAGACATGCTATATGTCCTGAACAGATGTTTAATCAATGTTTAATTCTTTCATTTAAGATGAAAATCCAAAAGAAAAAAAATGTTAATGTAATTAAATTGAATATTTCATAAATTGAAAATACATTCTCAGTTTCTGTATGATTTCACTATAGCTGATGTCACATTGCTGTTAATGAATGTGTTAATCTAAACACTGATTTTTTTCTTTTTGGATTTTTTAGCATTCTCTGCAACTCTAAAAGGTAATGCAAACACAAGTCACTTTTAATTATTCAAATGATTTATTAAGAAGAAGAAAATAATAGTGTCTATATTTTTGTTTCTTGTAGGCCAAGAAGCGTCCCAGGCTCTGTTTTTTGGGGAAGACTTCCACATCCCCTTGCCTGCAGGTAAAGCTGACGTGTCGTTCAAGCCTTCGGTCGTTCCAGGACGTGAGAAGTCACTGATGAGATCTGGTGAAGTGGTTGATGTTCGTGCCAAACTCAACACTGCTTTGACCCACCTGATCTTGGAAAATGTTGGAGAAAGTGATGAAGGAGTCTACACCATCTCATCTGACCAAACCGCAGGGGATGTTACACGCATCATACTCTATGTTAGAGGTAATGCATAATTTTCATGTCAAAATACCCAAAAAATTTTTACCTCACTTTGAATAACAGCTTGCACACTAAATTGGATGCACGGATTCACATTAGAATAGCTCTGAGTGACTTCCATGATTATAGGAAGTCATGTGGTGAACAGTAAGGGAGGATTAATGACCTCCTGCAGTAATTGTAGCTCTGTCAAGGCACACTGGTTGCCTTCCGTTCTTCTGTACCTAAAGATCCTTCTTTCTCTCTACCCAACTATCTATTTCTCCCATTATTAGTGGTGCTGGCTGGCACTTTTCATTAACCCGTCAAGCTCTGAGGGCATTTTTAGAGTTGTTTTTTTGTGAGTGACACACAAAAAACTAAAGACTATAGCAAGAAGAGTCAAAAGGTAGGTATCGTTTGATGGAACACTTTTTATATTTTTAGAAAATATACGTATGCAGAAAGGTACGAGAGGCTGTGCTGTATCGTAAATAAGTAACAGCTGAAGGGGTTGCAGGCACTCCGCTTCACGTTGTGCCTAACAACGCCCTTCTGCCGTTATATATTCATGATACAACACTTGCCTCGAATACCTTATTGCTTTTATAAAACGGTTAACACACAACAAATATATTAAAGTAAAAAAGTATATGGTTTAGTGCAACTTTCATGAAGTAAAATCACGAAAAGCCTTCCTTTGTGTTTATGTAAAACTGAATCCAAATCATTTAAAGTTCAGTAGGCTTTAAAATCAGTAATGAACTGCGATAACTTATTTTCTTTTAATGGCATTTATTCACTGCTGTAAATAAGAACTGTCAAATTCAATTTGTATTATATTATTTTATCAATTTGTGTAATCCAACGAATAGAGGATTATATAACCTAACTCAACATTAGGTTATATAAACTTTACACAAATGTTTACAACATTATATATAAAAAAACATACAAAAAAATAGAACTTATTTATACAAATGCTGTCTATGTTATTATCATAATAATAATACACAATTAATTAATAGAATTTTATTTAAACACAATAATAATAATTTGATCCACATCAATTTGCATTGCAGCAGTTGCAGTAAATTTTCTATAAAACTATGTAAATGGCGGTCTGTGGCGCAGCAGGATTTTGAACGTGGTCCTAAGCCGTTGCTGGGCGCCGCGGACAGATGCCGAATGGCGCCACCGGTGTGTGTACACTCATAGAGAATAATGTGTTCGAATTTTAAAGATGTGGCGCTGCGCAACGCGGCGCTGAACTTCTCGTCTGGTGTGCGACCCCCTTAAGACCTAAATTAGGCCTGAGGCCGCCGTTACGGCTGAAGTTACGGCTGTAAAAGCCTGACTCGCTTAGTGCTCGGGGAACTGAAGCGAGTAACCTCGTTTTATTGTGTTCAATACCCATTTTGACGTATGGGGGATGGCTTCCCAGGCCTTGGCCTGATAGACTCGGAGTTGAATGAAATCTGGGGGCGCCCGTGTAATGGGGATCAGGCCGCCCTCATGTTTGGAAGGGGAAATTTGCTCATTTTGTGCTTTATGTGGGTCGCTGTTAAAACAGCATTTGTTTGCAGGGGTGCATAGATCAGTATGGGCCCGTTGTCTGCAGGTAACACATCTCCAACTGCCTGAACTGAAAGGTGGCTGGAAGAAGCACGCAAGGGCAGTCTTTAGGGGCGGCCACAGCGAGACCTGGCCCCTTTCTCTTCCCTGCTGGAGCTAGGATGACTTCCGGGGCTCCCGGTCCAACATGAGCTTAGGCTGGTGACCCTGGTGCTTCGGTAAAGGGAAGCGCTTGGCTGGCTTGAAGCGCAGACTGGCTTCATCCGTTGGGCGGGTTTGACTGGCTGGCTGTGAGGTTGGCAGGTTCTTGGTGCAACCTGCAGCCGAGCTGGTGCTCTTCAGGAGGAAGTGTTGCATGCCCTGCGAAGACTTCTGTGCCTCAGTGAAGCGCTCAGCGAAGCCTTTGATGGACGGACCCAAGAGACCAGAGGAGAACTCCGGGGAATCCAGGAAGGCAGTTCGGTCTGCGTCCTTGATGTCTGTCAGGTGTAGCCACAGGTGGAGCTCCAGGATGATCAGGCTGGTCATGCTGCTCGGTGGCCTGGACGGTGGTTTTGGCAGCGTGCTTGGAAAACCTGCAGGACCGCCAATGTGTGCAGGGCTGAAGCAGCTTGACCAGCGGAAGAATAGGCTTGGCCAGCGATCGCTAAAGTAGTCCTGCAGGGCTTTGAAGGGTAAACCGCTTTAGACCTCCAACCAACAGTGGTGCCACCGCTTTGATTTCCTCATGATGATTTCCTCATACCCCTTTTCCTCTGCGCCGTCGTCTGACGATAGCGCTACCGAGGTTGAAGTTCGCAGGCGGTCTGAGTATGGTGTGCACCACGACGTAAACTTGTTCAGGGTCTTTTATCAAATAATATTTAAAAAATCAGCATATTGGTAGTGTGGCAGGATGAGAAAACGACAGACACAGTGGGAGTGGTGTTAGGCCTTGGAGAGCCATTTATTAAAGTAAATAAACATAAAATGTCCAAAAATGGGGAAAATAAAGTGTTAAAACAAATGGGGATCTGGTGTCCTCGTTGTGCTAAGGAATCGTGAAGGAAGGGTAGTGAAGAGATGGTATGGGTCCAGGTAAGGGGTCGCACTCGCTTCTTCTCTCCTTGGTCTGAGCCACGAGGGGGCGGTGGCTTCAGCATTGCGACTTGTCCTCTCTAGTCCCCGACAACGGAGGGGAATAGCGGCCCGTGATCCATCAGCAGCGTTACGTATGTTCTTTGCTCAGACCATAGGTCCGGCAACTCACACAGCAACTCACTCCCTTCCTGGAAGTTGAGGACACCAGTGTGCATGCAGAGGGAAGAGACCGGTCTCTCGACGAGGTTTGGGCCAATCAGTTTCCAGTGCCACCATGGCCCCTCCCCTGTCTACACCACTGAGCTAGATGCATTAAAAAGCTGAAATACCCCCAGCGGTACACTTCGGGATTAAGGGGTTAATGGGGTGCAATGTGGCTGTTTTCTTTCAACAACTGGTCGTAAGGAAGAGCTCAGGAAAGGTCAAACTGGTAATATGTTAATATGAGCTGTTTTATTTTCTATTAATTTTTAAATAAACATTAAATAAGCAATAATGTAACTGAAAAACGAATTCTGCAAATACTGCAGAATAATACTGAAAATACTGCTGAGTTTAGTCTAAATTAAGCTGTCCCTCAGCAGATGCTACATAGTTTGTTTGTTTTACAAAATTTGCACTCGTTTCTTATTGTATAATTGTTTCTTACTATAACGTGGGTTCATCTCTTGACACATGCAGTCAACAGGAGTTGAGAAAGTGAAATGAAATTACGTGTCTTCTCACAATACTGTAGAAAAGATGCAAAAGATTACAGTACATTTTGGCTGTCAACTTTTTTTTATTATAAAGGATATTAAGGGTTTACATTATTAACAGGCTATTGAAAACTGGATTTGCAAATTTAATCATTAAAATGTGTTTTACTACAATTATTTGAATGCCAATTCAATAGGTAATAATAAAAGATACATACAACATACAGTTGAGGACGTCTTACTGTCTACTTCTGATATGGGACAGGGCATAATATAGACTTTATAGGGAACAGAGATTTGATCTGTTTAGAACTAGCAGTTACATGTTCAATGTTAGTTAATAGTTTATCTAATAGTTCTTACAACATATTTTTGACCTGCAATTTTATTCTTCTTAGACAATGTAAAAATCTCATGGATTCCTTTTCTTTTTTCTTTTCCAGATTGCTTTAATGAGGACATTGTTTATTATGGATCAGATTTTCATGTTTCGCTCAATGATATCTCAGACACGGTGCATGTGGGCTTTCGTCACAGCTCAGTGGAGGCAAATCAGACTTTACTACCGGCTATGGAACTGATGAATGGAGCACCCAAGGAGAATTACCAGGGCCGCATCAAGATCACCCCTCAAAAGTTCACTCTGCTTGCCGTTACAGGGGCTGATGAAGGTAGTTACACCTTCAGCGATTCCATTGGGAAAGTCTTGAAGAAGATCTGCTTGAATGTTAAAGGTGAGAGCAGGAAGCACATTTTCAGGGGTTCATGACATGACACTATTGTTGAAATAACATTTAAGTAACATTTTAATAATATATGAGTAGCTATAGAAAACATTTTGAAGGAGAAATGGAATAGGATAATAAAGTAAAGTCTGCCAGTCCCTAAAATTAACACTGGAAGGTGAATAAGACCACAATGTGAAGCGAAAGGGTACCTGTATCATCCTGAACGGATTTATTTTGTTCTAATAAACGAATAGCTGTTCATTTTACCGCACATTACATGGCTATAAATAAATGGAAATATTGATTTGCGGTGAAAATATTTGATTATGAGAAAACGAAGAGGCCGCAGAGTGATATGAGATATTTGAAACTAGTCCAGAAGATTGTTTCCCGGGAACAATAGTCAAATAAAAGGTTTAGTGGTCATTATACAAAAACTGCAACTGACCAATCAGAATCAGGTATCCTGAGAGGCATAAAAACTGAGGTGTGAAATATAAGACTGGAGGTTGTTTTTATGGAATATACAGTGCTAAAAATAAAGCTTCCGAAAGTTTTTTTTTTTTTTGTAGTGATGCTATAGAAGAAGCACTTTTTTTTTTCCACTATTCTTCATGAAACAATTGATGCCAAAAAATAACTTTTATTTTTAAGAGTGGTGAGAACTCTTCGGGTTCAAAGAAAGGATATTAGGCGAAGTACAAAGACATGAAGAAAGATAGGTGGAATGGAGTCTGCCATTGTCTGCAGTATTTATTACCTAAATAATTTATGCTTTCTCCTCCCTACCGATTATTTTTCTTCTTTCTTCACTTTCATGACATCATCTTAGAAAATAGCTGAACATCCTGGCTTTAGTAACAGCTTTCTTTCTTTCTGTCCTTCGTTTTTTCTTTCTTCCAGCACATCAGGTATTTGAAACCCTTACAAACGGTGGCACTCTGAAAGTAAACCTGCACTTAGATAGTTCCTTAGCTCGCCTGGTGTACACAAAGAAGTCTGATAACCATAAGTATTTGATTATGGAGAATGGAGAGCTCATACTGCCTCCTAACCTGGATCTCGAAGGTCGCCTCTCTTTGGAGAATTCCATGTTTCTTCTGACAGATGTGAAGGCCAGTGATGCCGGCGTTTTCAGTGTGACTGACCTTCAGGGATTCCTGGTGTCTGATGTCCACCTGGAGATGGAAGGTGAGGCGATGCAAGATGACAAAGAGAAATTAAAAGAACATGGGCGACGTTTCCCAAAAGCATTGTATGTCTAAGTTAATCGTAGAACAATTGCCACCAATGGTCTCCATGATCAATTTTGGCTTACGATGCTTTTGGAAAACTCAGGCAAGTTAATTTAATTTTCATGCTTTGCAGCTAATGGTGTATCTCTTTCTCTCTCAGCATTCACGCTTCCTAAACTCTACATTGCCATCATCGCTTTGGTAGCATTATTGGTGTTGCTGCTTTTGGTGTGCTTGGTGTCATGTTTGGTGAAGATACGCAGACGTGCAGCAAAGGCCAGAGCCATTGAGGAGAAAGCCCACAATGCAGGGAAAGTGGAGGGAGAGACCTTCAGGAAGGTATTTACCACCTATCTTATCACCAATGTAAGCACCAAGGACAAAAAAAGATACAAAAATACATTGGATACAAAATATCAAACCAAGTGGCATTTCCAAACAAATGAGTCTTATTTAAGTTTTTATTTGGATCTATTTGTACCCAACACTTTTGAAAAGAGAAAAGGGTCAAAGCGAAGCAAAAAATTCTCAAATTTTTCTGTAAATATTGTTGGGAACAAAAGTTTTATTAAAAACAAAATACATTGTATTACTTTTTATTTAGCTGAATAATCAATTCATATATTGATTTCCTCAAAAAGTCTACAGACTGTGGCTCTGACACTATCAAAACAGAATCCTGACCAGCTCAACAGAGCAACATTAGATCAACCAATGACGTAATTTGGAGGGTGGAGCTCTCTGTTTGACCGACCAATGAAAAACAGGAAGATTGTTTGGGGGAAACCTGATTAAAACTTTGCAAGTGCCACAAAAAGGACACACCAAAACTTTGAAAATAAATAAATAATAGATATGTAAAGTACAAACATTTGCTTTGTTTTACATTCTCTTTTAATTTCTTCTTCAACATGAAATGAATAAGAAAAAGTGTTTGTCTTTCTGTGTTTATATAATATTATCAGCCCTTTGCTCATATGTCTGCAGGTTGTGAAAGATGCCTGTACCCGTCAGAATGAGGAAGCCCCGGCCCTGTCACAGAAAGAAGACATCACTGAGAAATCACAGAGCACAGAGGTCAGCATTAAGGTGAGCACCAGGAAGCTGAAAGACATTTTAGTCATTTGATCTATCTTTATATCTAAACCCTTAGCATTTGCTTAGTATAAAATGCTGAATTATGTTTAATGTTGTTGAAATGCTTTTAAAATGCTAAGTTCTGAGTATGTTCCTCAGGGTTTGGAGGTGTCTACTAAAGAGCCAAGCCTACAAGAGAGGAACATGGAGACCAGTGACTCTGGAGTGGGCTTTAATACCACTGGGCTCCCACTTGATAGTGACACTGATGCCCCAACAATAGCCATTGCAGATTCTGATGCATTGAGTTCCTCTGCTGCCCCTGACGTCAAAGCCATTCCCAACCAAATTCCAGAGCCAAAGACTGCCTCCTCACCTCCAAAACCAGCACCAACTTCCGATCTAAAACCAGCACCTGTGGCCAAGACGACGGCTCCTCCACCACCTTCGCCTGAACCTAAACCACCAGTAACTCCATCGCCTGAACCTAAACCAGCAGTAATGCCATCACCTGAACCCAAACCTGCTGCTACACCTGAACCCAAACCTCCTGTTACACCTGAACCAAAAATTACCATCTCATCACCACCTGAAACAAAACAGACCTTAAGCCCAGAACCCAAGCAACCCGTGATACCTGATCCGAAACCAACAAGTCCAGTACCTGAGGCCACATCAACTGATGTTAAACCAATTCCAAGTCCAACCCCTGAATCTCCAAAAGCATTAATGCCAACTCCTGATGCGAAACCAGCCATTACTCCAGATGCCAAACCAGCAGTTTCACCCACTCCTGAACTCATACCTGCTAAAGTTGGCACTCCTGAACAGAAACCCGCCATAAGCCCCACACCTGATCCAAAGACTCCGGATCCTAAACTGGTTTCTCCGATCCCTGAGCCTAAACCACCAGTCTCACCGATTCTCGACTCAAAACCAACTACAAATGGTACTCCCGAATCCAAGGAGCCAAGTGCACCTTTATCTCCTGGCCTGGATGTGAAGGGCACTACCCCTCCAAAAACCCCTGAAACTGAGAAAAGCTCAGTCAAAGCTCCCGAGCTCATCTCCAGTGGAGGCCTGGACTCGGCTTCTCCCAATGACAGTGCACCACCTGCAAGCACTGATGGAGCTGCCACCAACTGAGATAAAAACCCTAGCCTAGTTCCTGCCTCCTCCTGTATTAACCACCACAGACAATCTAGACACTTGACTTAAAGAAAAGCTAAAAGTCTTCCTAAGGGGGTGGGTTCCTCAGTCTTTTGAGTCTCACTTTTAATATGATTAACAAGCATCAATGGAAAGATCCATTGTAAATCCACTCAGTTTACTAATATTTAATCACCCCATAGAAGGGTTCGAATACAGAGATAAAGCACTTCAGACCTTACACCGTTGGCTGATTTAATACAAAATGAAGGAGACGATCTGGGGTATTCCACGAAAGTGTACAAAGACAAATCTTCCATCACAGAAATAATACATCACTGCATGAAGATATTGAGAAAATAAACTCTATCATCAGTTCTGTAATCCAAAAAAACTGTGGTTGAATTTGGAGAAACCCACAGAAGGGCATGGGACATTAATCATTTTCATTTCTGCTCCATTTTGACAAGGCGGAGAATCTAAATTGCAGGACTGATACTGAGAAAGTGGTGAGCCAACCATCTGCTTTCCGAGGACTGGAAAGATTGAAAAACCATGTCACTTCGATGCATGCAAGCACTTCGATGCATGCAAGCACGATGCATCCACATGTCCTTTTGACAAAAGGGAATGAACGAGGAAAAGCCAAAAAAAGAAATTCATAAACCTTCACAGACTACTCTGTACCTGAACTCAGTCTAACCTAGGACTAGTCTCACAGATGTTCTTGTCCAGAGATGTGACGGTGCACATTTCCTATTCATCTAGTAACAAAAGTATTCCTATTGAAGTCTCTTTCAGTTATTTCTGTAAGCAAGAACTTCAGACAATGGTCAAAGGCAACAGTATATGTGAAAATATACAAATTTGGTTCTTTGGGTGAGTCATGTTGAGATTGATAGATTGTTTCCATCATTAGCACGTGTTCTGGAGTATTGTGCTAAGAATTAGTTGACCCTACTAATAGTGCTATTTTAGCATATGATTCCTAAAAGGAAATATGCAAATCAGGTAATGATGCAAACACACCCAAAAAAATATGCACTGTGTGCAGATTCCCATTTTCCTGCCTGGAACTTAGCCTCGGTTGTGGAGGATGCAGCAGACTACTGCAATAAGCCAATATGCTTTTACTGGCACCTTACAGCATTACTCCCACACTGTTGTCCAAACTCTTGATTCTTGAATTGGCTAAAAAGTGTGTTTGATAGCACACCATTCAAGATCATTTCCTCGTTTGATGAATTGCTCCCATGTTCGAAAATTAATGGAAAATGTACCCAGACATTAAATTCTGTACTGCCCACTTTCCACAGACGATAATAGCGCAATGGTAAATAGTGCTGCTGACTCTGAATCTATAATGACCCTAATTTACATAAATTAGTTTGTTTGTGTTGAAAAGAATGACAGTGATTGCAGGTGGTTAGTGAATAAGACTTTTTTTTTATAACAAGTGGCACAAGCAGTGAATTAGCCCAAGAACACCTTGTATGGTTAAATTCGCTGATTTTTGTTTGGGTTAGGGTTAGCAAGTGAACGTGGTTCATAGGAAGATCTAGATTGTTTGTGTTCCTTCTGGTTAATCTAAAAGGTTCCACAAGTAATTTTGAATTCATAGTTATATAATTGAAGGACTCACATATCAGTTTACATATATTCCAGGTGCCTCCGGTGGAGCCTGAACACCACTGCCTGTTAATGTTGTATCCGTCAAGGAACCTGCTCCTACCACACTATCTATGGGAGCTCATGTTAAATCGCAGTGAGTAGCGGATGGTAGCTAATATATGTATTAAGAACTTAAAGCATGGGCAGGTTTGACAAGCTGGAGGTTTGTGGGTAGATTTTCAAACTGAAGATGATTACTACCTCACATTTAATCCTGACTAAACTACTAAACCACTAACTAAAGAACATTGTAACGTACGTCGACATTAAAAAAAAAAAAGATGTAGTTATTTTGGCAAAGCACAAGGTTTGAAATACAATCAAAGGTTTACAAATCTCAATTTGGCAATGCCTTTGAACCTTCAAAAATGGCCTTGTTTTTTCTCAGCCATCAACAGCTGTTTTAATATCAGTGAAAGGAAATGACACTTGAAGCCAATATAGTCTTAGTGTCACATCTCATCATGTAAATATCACAAACCCTAGATGTTATAACCCTTATGTGCACTGTAGCATTCAAAATGATATATTCCATGACAAAGCAGACCAAACCGACCATTTTGTGACTAAATGGATACACATTACGTAAATCTGACACTGAATAGATTATGAGCACATCTATGTTAAAGATGCACTCAGTCATTTTTGTCTGTCGCGCTAGCCGACAGTGTTCTTGAACTTACACTAACACTTGGTGGGTTGGAGGAAGAGTAATGGAAATTCAATAGTTTTAGGTTTAGATTAATCAAGGCTGACTGCAAACAGAGCACAGTGGTATACTGCAGTTTGCAGTCAGCCTTGATTCATTTATACTACAATTGAACGTGTTTGTTAATAGGTGGGCCTCTAAAATAAAATGAGTAGTAGGCATCTCTGCTAGTTATTTCAACATAGCAGCACCCATGAGGTGGCCCACTCCATGTAAAGTTAAACTCAAAACTACTATTCATTTTTTTTTAACAAGCCAATTTTAAGTCCACCTTAAAAGTTAACCACCTCACTCTGTTTGGAGAGAGAAAGAGAGCCGGTATTGAAGTAAGAACATCTGAGCAATATAGAAATGTGCAGATATTTATCAGCTTTTATATAATGAAAAACCTATGAAAGTAGTGTAGCATAACTGTCATGCTCCCATCAGCTAATGCCATTGGCTGTTAAACGTCACATACCCTTACATTCATCTCCAGCAAATGATGTCACAGTTAAGTGCATCCCGGTAATGCACATCACACAGGTTTCCAGGCAAAATCAATATTACCGGTATTATGGTCACTCTCTGAATCATCACAGTGTCTTAAAGCAGAAGACCATACTTAAGATATTCGTTACCCTGCAGGACACTGCCACTGATAATAGTCTTGTATCATGACATGATTACTGTCTGTTTTTCTATTTTGTGTGTTGTGTGTTGATGCTTGTGTTGTATGTATGGTATTTATGATGAGAGATTTTAGATGTTATTCCCAATTGGCAACATCAGGAGGCCTGTCTGTGTTTGTACACGTGCATGTGAGTATGTTTGTGTGTGTCAGTGTGTTAGCAACAATCTCCTCCATTGGATAGCTGTCATTTCAATGCAATTAGCAATGTCCCCTTTCGCCCCGACTGGCTGGTAATTGCTGTTCCTTTTTAAGTGGTATTAAATGCAGAAGCAATTTAAAGAAGAGCACAGTGTGAGATTTATATCAGAATGGACTCCATGCTGTTTAGTGGGACCTGATTATATCTCTTCTGATAACAAGGTAGCCATGTACTAAAGGTCATTTTGATTGAATTGATGCTCAAGACGACGCCAACGGAATAGTAATTTAATTAATATAGAGCTTTTCCCTTGCTCAAGGTGCTTTACAAAATACAGATCCTAAAGTAACGATGCATTGTCACTGCAGTCTGTCATTGCATGATGTAATTACTCTCCCATAGTGTCTTTCAGTGCTAGTGTGGTCATGCATATTTAGGAGGTAGTGTGTAGACGTCTAAAAGAAGTACTCTGATCTTCATGTATCGCATGGCTCTGCAGGTCTCTAATTGGACAATTCCATTGTGTAAAACATCCCTTCCATGGATGTCACTGAAACTGTTGCATTGTATGTTTCACTTGTTTCTTACATTAAACCTGATTGGTCGATGACATTCTAAAGGGCATTAAAGGGGTTTTTCATTTGAAAAAGAAAATTCTCCGATTGTTTACCCGCCTTCATGCTAATCTAAAGCTGTATGCCTGTCTTTCTTTCAAATATTTTTTGTCCATCCATTTTAAGTCTGTAGAGTCAAGAGTTGTTTTGGACCCCATTGACTTTCATAATATGGACAGAAATATTCTTCAAACTATCTTCTTTTGTGACCCATAGAAGAAAGTCATACAGGTTTGGAATGACATGCAGGAGAGCAAACTAAAGAATTTTCATTTTTTGAATGAACTATGCCTTTAAGTAAATACCCAAAATTCAATGGGTGTGGAATTATCTCTCAAGAGTGAGAAGAATGAGTGGTGAGAATGTACAGAGCATGAGTATCCTTGAGTGTTGTGCATTCTCCCAGTGAACTCAATGTGCAGTTGTGTCCCACTGGTGCATGGGAGGTTTCTGCCTCTCTTTTTCTCTCCTTATTCCACCTGAGTGATGCTCGACATTTTATCGTTTCTCATTCTTCCTTTTTGCACAACACAAACATTTTGTAAAGAAGAAATACTTCCTTTATTTCATGCCTAGAAATAATAATAAATGATTTTAAAATGTTTTTCAGAGTTGTTGCGTTATTTTTCCTCCTCACACCTGTGACACAGCTGTTATAAAGCACTGCACACATCACTCTGATATGGCTCTCCTGAGACTGTGAGACATTTCCCAAGTGGAAGAAGAAGGGCTTTCTGCCCTTGCAGTCAATCACACTCAAAGTCACTCAACTGTCTCTCTAGAGCTTTCTCTTCCCTTCTCCTTTGGCCTGTCACTATCAGGGTGCCCTCTTCTTTTTTTTCTTTTCCGTCCCTCCAACAGCACATAGTTTCCAAAGTAGTTCCCGTGCATGGCTGAATGCAACAGATGTCTGGCTTATTTATAGACTGGTAATGGTAAACAGTTACTATTAATAGTCTGTCACCTGACACAGATATAATTCCATTTTCATTATTTTTGCATTGCTTTCCATTTTATTGTGCCAGAAAATTGACTACTCTAAACAATACATGCACAAAGATGATTTGCACACAGTTTGCATGATAACGTGCACATATTTTATTAATAAAGTGTGTACAAATACATCAACATTTTGTCATTATTTACTCACCCTAATGAAATTCCAAACTTCATCCATTCTCTAAGCCAATTGTCATATGTAAAGTCACTGGGATGCTGGAGCCTCCTCAGCATTATGGACCACCCTAAACAGATGGTCAGTCCATCACAGTGCTAACACACACATTTAAACTCACTCTTATAGGCATTGTCTCCATTTCACGTAATCTGCCTTTGAGGGGAAACCAAAATACCAAGCGTCACAGGAAGAACATGCAAACTCCATACAGAAAGGCATCCTGGCTTAGGATTTGAAACAGAGACCTTGCTGTGAGAATCTTGCTATCATATTGTATTTCTAGGCAGTCTCCAATTAAAGTACTAAGCTCTAACCAAACCGCAACACTGGTTAGCTTCTGAGATTAGATAATCATGGTTATATTGTCATAATGCATTGATATTGTGACAGCAGCCTGTCAAGCTTTAAAAAAGGACAAAAAACCCTATACATGTTGTCCATATGTCTGTGTCTCTCAAACCACATAAAGTGCCAATGATGCAGGCTGGACATCAATAAAAGACTTTCATTGGTTTTCAAGGATCTCCAACATCATGATGTCAAACCATATTTGCATTCCGTTTTGGAACAAGTAAATAATGACATAATTAACAACTGCAGTCATTCAATCCCATAATGCACGCAATGGCTTGCCACTACAGAATATTCATGCACTGTGAGCATCATGCCAAATGAATTCCTGCCAATCAACAGAACATTATTTTAATTAATTGTCCGAATTCACTCTCTCATGGCACTGTTTATTGTATCAGTTTATACAAAACAACACAGCAAAAACTGCTCTAGATATACAAGCTGAGTGGTGACCAGAATTCAGATTTCAAACTGTCAGCAGTAAAGGTGGAAAAACAAACATCTATCTCCTATGTCAAACCCTCAGAGTGATGGATGGAAGATGGAAAGAGGAGCGCAGTTCTTTCCTTCATCTGAGTCACATGGGTTGTAGAATGGATAGAGCGGCAAATGAACAGTGCCCATGTAGAAGGAGAAGAGTGGCGTCATGGTGACAGCGTTGTAGAAAGACACTTCCTCATTTTCACAGTCCAGGAATACACCGATGCGGATGGGGAGGGCATACAAGAGCACCTGTGTGGGCTTTGGGTGGGTGCAGGCCGTGATTGAGCCATTTTTCAGAGACAGCGTCCACAGTCCATTTAACGTGGAGGAAGAGTCCATTTCCCCACGGTTCACGTCTGCTCTGGCTACCCCCACTCGCCAGGCGGTCTTGCCCTTCACCTCTACCTCCCAGTAATGACTGCCATTGGTGAAGCCTTCTGAGCCCATCACACAATAGTAGTAGTGGAAGCGCTTCGGGTTCCTCTCCTCTGGGTTCTCCTTGGGCAGCACCTTGTCCTCACTGAAAATCACTGACGTCCCCTCAGCAGATAAGGTCAAGAGGGGATGTGCCGTTTCAGGGTCAAAAGTCAACGAGGATATGCCTGTGTATGAAGATGAATTATAGAGTATAACAGAATTCAGAATAGTAATCAGTGATGTGTACAATTAACATATAATGTAACACACATTCCATCTATTAGCATAAAGTGGTGGTGTTTCGTTTGTGAATGATTCAGTGTTTTGAACACTGTCTTCGATGAACTGACTTTTTGTCCTTTGAAGCGTGTGAATGCTTTCCAACTTTCAAAGACTGACTATATCATAGCTTTCGAGCATTTTAAAGGAGCGTTTAATTGGATAAACCTACTAAACAAGTCAGTGATTTCTGAACAAGGCTTGAATGAACACTCTGGCTGCTTCTGAAATTGCATACTTCCCTAGTAGGCTAAAAACAGCATGTGACAATTGCATCCGAATTCAGTTACTCATAAAAGAGTAGGCAAACACGAGCTACTTCCGATGTGACACTCAACTGTATGTTGGACACTTTACTATCCCATGAAGCCACAGGAGAGGATTTGAGAATGGTAGTATCATGCATCATGACAAAACTGACGATGGTCACATGACAGCGACAACATGGCGAATGTAGCCTATGCTCGGATCACATTTGTAGCCTACTACACACATTAATTTTTATATAGAACTTACCTTTTTAGTGTTTACAAAGTAACTAGGCTACTTATTAAAAATAACCTGCTTCAGAGAGTGTCCGATTTTGGACATATCCAATTTTTAATGAATCACCTGAATAAATTATATTAATATCAATCATAAAACAAAAACTCACCTGCCGCCACCTGCTGGCGATGTAAATATAGTCACTAAAGTAATAGTTAAAAGATTCGATTCACTGGGATGAATCAAAATTTCCACCACTTTAATGAGATGTTTCGCTTTTGAGTAAGCAATAAAATAATGTAATATTATTAAATATTTAGTACTTGGGTAAAGTGCTGTTTTCATGTGTTTCCAGATCCGATACTGTATGGGCCCCACAAACTGACCAGAGAGGATTTCACAGTCTATTGGGGCAGGCCGAATGAAATTCACCTCACATCTAATAAATAAGGACAGATAAACAAGAAAGAAGGCAGATGAGGACCAGTTTGAAAAAAAATGAGAAAACTAACAACAATGAATAATGCTATGTTATTTAGAATAATATAAATAGAAAAGACACTTGCCTTTTCAGAAGCTCTTTGATTTCCTAAATAGGTAAAAGAATATAGTGCTTAGAGTATGAACCTGCAGATTCAAAGCCTGCCTGAATACAGCAGTCAGCACTTCAGATTCCTCACTCTTTCAATCATGTGATTGTTTGGGCACTTGATCTAAACAGTGCCAAATGGTTTCTAGCATGTGCTGTGGGTGTCTATTGCACTGCATGAACTAAAGTTCTATGAAAGTACATATGTGATGTGGTAAATCTAGATGATGTCAAAACACCAAACAACTTGCACCTTTCACTGCTTATAGGCTGTCAGTTCATGCAATTTAAAATGGAAATCCACCTTCAGAAGTTTGGGACTGTCATCCTCCCGCAGTTTGCAATTCAGTGTCTCGATGGCTTTCTCTAGATCTCTACCCTGCATGCCAATCTTTCTCTCTCTCTCTTTTAAGATCTTCACTCGTCTCTCCCTTTCCTTCTTCAGTCGTTCCAGGTCCGTCTCCTCCTCCTCATCTAGGAAACGATGGAGGTTTTGAAACTCTGCTCGGATTTCACGCTCTATCTCTTCAAATCTGTTCTGTGAGAGACAGTAAATGAGACATTAATGACTCAGAGGAAGAGAGACTAATAACTTAGCTTTGGGAAAATGAGCAGGCTGACAGTAACTTATTGAAGTTAGTACTCAAATTTAATACCAGAAATGGTCAAATTCTCAAAATGGGGTCCTGGTACCATGGGGTTGCAGAAAGTTTTTACAGTGTAAACAGATCTCTATACATGAAAATATGTAACTTTTTTAGAAGAGGTGAGTTTATTATGATAATGATTTTCTCACAGGCCTACTTAAATATTTTAGAGTTTTCTTTCCATGCGTCAGTCAGTGTATTCTAGGAAAGACTATTAATACTCATTCAGTCACACATATGTATTACAAAAGTAAATCAATCCGTACCTCGACCCCCACAGCGTCCACAAAGGCGTCTTTCTCAGCTTCGTAACATTCATCAATTTCATGTTTAATTTTTTTAATCGCCTGAATAAGCTTCTCCTGAAACACAAACACAAAGCCACTTTGTAGTGTAACAAGCTCACTCAGTAAATACAATAATTAGATTGATTCAGTTTGTGCATTAACTCAAAATGTAATTACTTCTTTATAACAACATATTTTCTTTTTATTCTTTTCAGAAAGTCCAAAATAACACGTTTAAGCACGTTTAAACCTCCAGAAATAAAAACAATCCACACTGTGTGTTTCACCTTGCCATGACATACTAAGGTAACATTTTATTCTTACCTTTTGGGCGGCAAGGAGGGAGTTGCTGAAGTTATTGTTTGTGTCCTTCATGTGATTTGTGTGCATTCCAGTTTTCCTTGTCAGAACAAAGCAGACAGAGCTCTGGGATCTCATATGTGTGAGAGAGAGGGGTTAAATCAAACTGAGTGATAGGTGTGTGTTAGAGTTTTAGAGAGAGAGAGGGGGGGGGGGGGGTATGACAAAGGCAATATGAGGGTAATATATCAATGGAGGGCCACAGACTGATTGGTCAGAGACCGGAGGTGACCAGAACACGACCAACTTAAATTTGCACGGAGCTATGTAAGCTAAAAATATGTGTAGTTAATATCTTTAATGGCTTGAGGCATAATTTGACTTCACATAATAGAATATCTACTCAGGGAAAGAAAAGCAGAGGGAGGTATTGTGGGGTCCACAGCTGTCTCGCTGCACAGCATGAGCAATTTATGGAAGTGAGGGAAGAGATTTTCTATTTCTGTCTGCAACAAGAGCCAACGTCAGAGAACAGAGGCAGACTATTACAGGCAGCAAGATAGAGAGAAGGGCTATTGGGGGGCTTATGTTTCATGCTAAGGGGTCTGACACAACGGTATTTTGTATGTGTAGCACAAAAGATATATAATATGCAGACAACGTGAGTGTGTGCCTGTGTTGTATGTGCAAACAGAGGGAGATTATGTTTCATAAAGAGCAGTCTGTCTGACAAAGATTTTTCAAATATTTCTGTGAAATAGTTGAGGGATGAATGACAAGAAAAAAAATCTTTTGTGATGAAAAAAAATCTCTTGTCGCCACCCCCCCCCCCCCTCTCTCTCTCTCTCTCTCTCTCTCTCTCTCTGTGTGTGTGTTTGAACACTGCTCAACCAAGGCAATGTATTATTCATGGACTCGTCCTGAGTGTGTGACTGCTGAGGCTAAGATGCAGACTCAGTAAAAGGGAAGAGTGCAATCATTTTAAATGCACAGTCTACATATTTAAGACACTTCAAAATTATCCAATTTTAGAACTTCATGATACTGAGCAGTGGCTCTCTGATTATTTTGAGACCAAGGGCCTGAAGAGATTTGCTCATGGTACTAAAATGATGACAAAGCTGTTGTCATATTTGTATTGGACTAAGAGAAACTAGTGTCAATATCTTAAATTGAATACAATACAGTTTTTTTAAATAATAAAATGATAATACTAATAAAAGTACTAATAAAATAACTATGTATTTCGATAAAATCAATATTACTGGGAAAGAAAAAAAGCAAGTGATGTTAGATACCTCCTGATTATTATCGCATTTTACCGTTTTATTTTACGTTATATTTTTATATCACAACTTATTTTGAATCATTTTTGGATGCATAATGAGTTCCCCTACTGGACAACAATAAAATTAGTTACATTTGTTTTAATCAAATTCGATGCATGAAATTAATTCATTTTAATGCGTTTATATTATTAATGGGAATTATATGATATTTTAAGATATTATATTATATTAGAGATTTGCCTGCATTACCCATTTCCTGTGCGTATGACGTTGAAAGCGGAAGTAAACAAAGAGCACGTCGCAGTTCAGCACTGTAACGTTACCCAACGTGCGAGAGATCGGTGTTTTATTGTTAAATGTCTTATAATAATTTTGTTTGGCATAATCGATTGTCGTTGAAAACACATTGTCGTTGTCTTCATCGGTTTTAGACTCGACAAATAAATATTTTGTTAATTCTTTATCTTGTTAGTTGGTTATGTAGCGGTAGCGTGGCTAACAGAGGAGTAAAGTTATTAACTTAACCTAGTTTATTTAAATCTTTTTGAGTCTCTTAAATCTTTCTTGATAAACATAGACATTAACAGTTGGACAGTCACGGTCAAGAATCAGTATAAAGTAGCAAAGCCATCTGAAAACGACGGTATAATTCCATTGAAGTATTATAAAATGAACGGACAAGCTGAAGTAGAGGTGGATTACAAGAGAAAATATAAAAATCTCAAACGCAAGTTGAAGTTTATAGTATATGTGAGTATCGTTTTCTTCAGTGTTTGATTTTTTTATTTGTCGTTTTAAAATGCTTGTTAATCCTCTGTCTTAATTCATTGGATCAGGAGCAAGAGTGTTTTCAGGAGGAGCTGAGAAGAGCTCAGAGGAAACTATTAAAAGTTTCAAGAGACAAAAGGTAGTAGAACCCCTAGTCTTCTTATTAAAGTTATCAAATGCTTCACATTTGCTTGTCCCACGGATGCATGCATGCACATAACTGAATGCTTTTGTTTTGTCAGTTTTCTGTTGGACAGGCTGTTGCAGTATGAAAGAGTGGACGAAGAGTCTTCTGGTAGGTCTCTAAAGAAAATGCTTCTCTGATTACTTCTAGGAAACTTCCAGGGATTCTGTGTGCTGAGAGTGTTTTTTTGTTTTCAGACTCTGATGCTACAGTCTCCTCGGACAGCGATGGAGAGGGAGCCAGAGAGAGAGACCGGGATGCAGGGAAAAAGTGAGTCTACAGCAAGTGGATTTTTGTTTGGATTTGACAGATGCAAAACATTAGAAATGTAGCTGGTAAAGTTTAACCCTCTTTTTTTTCTTCCTTCAATAAAATGTCTACAATACCGTTCAAAAGTTTAGACTCAGTAAGATTTTGCTTATTTTGTTTTTAAGAAATTCATGCTTTTATTCTAAAGCAATTAAATTGATCAATACATGCTGCTCTTATGATTTTTTTTTTATTCATCAAATAATTCAGGGGAAAAAATTCTCGATTTCCCCAGAAACAATAAGCAGCACAGCTGTTTTCAACATTGATAACTACTTTGCCATCACAGGAATAAATAACATTTGAAAATATATTAAAATAGGAAACATTTTTAATTGTAATAGTATTTCACCATTTTTGGTCAAATAAATGCAGCCTTGGTGGAACATAAGACATTTTTTTAAGGCAAAGTGCGCAAATCTAGTATAGATACCCTTTATGGGTTGTTGACATTTTATGGATGTATACCTCTTGAATTTTGCGACAGTCAGGAATTACGTGAGCAGCACGTTGCATTTGTAATTTGTTGCACTGCCAATTAACCTTTCAATTATCCGTTGAGCTTACACAAGGGTTTTAAAATTTGCCAGTTACATGCTGCTTAAAAGAAATAACCATCCGATAGGAAAAGATTTGTAAAAACACATGAATGTATGCTGTATATGCAATACAATATATATTGTAACTCATATGCAATGACAGACAATTTGCTTTTGAATAGCTTTGAATAAATATAGTTTGAAAAATGATAATTCTACCAAATGAAAAAATGGAAATTAAAATTAATAAAATTTGGGCATGATTAATGCCCCAATTTTTGTGCCATTCCTCATTTTATCAAGCTAACATGTGCAATGCATGTCACTTCTGCTGTTTCATATGTTTTAATCCTTTTATAATAGCACTGTTTCTTCAATCATTTTATTGATTTATTTATTTTTTTCAGAAGGAGAAGTCCTGGAGTTCCTCCCGTCCCGTCGTCCTCATCTCCTCATCTCTCACTCCTGTCCCGCTCTGGTGCGGTTCCTCTCCAGTCATCAGCTCCGGCACAGTACCTCAACACTGTGAGTACATCACGCCTCCATGAGCACTCCACAGGTCTCATACAAACTGCACTCATGCTTTTCAGTTACTCACATTTGCTATGTTTCCATTGAAAGGTGCCAATTTAACTAAATAATAATATAATAATAAAAGTGAAAGTTGCTGCAATCAGTGAACCCACTGTGGTTGTTACTTGCGCACAGATGAAACGGATTAAATGCTGTCATGTTATCTTGCATTCAGATGCCATGCAATAATGTGAGAGTTCTGGGAGGTAATTATACCCAACCCAACCCTTTTGATGACATATTTTGGCTCAGGCATTTCAGAATGACCAAAGCAATGTTTGAGATGGTGTGCAATGAAATTTGTCTGCTGGTTAGTCCAGTTATCCAATCACGTCCTCTGTTGAGGCAAATTCACGGTTGCGCATCAAGTCATTTATACATGAATATTTTTTATACGCATGTAGTTTAGTAGTCTTCTCAATGCATAAAAAAAATTATCCACCTTAATTGAGCGCAAAAGTATCTATGCACATCAAGTGTAAAAAAAAAAAAAAAGCAATATCCCCAAATTCACATAAAAATGGAAACTAAGCTAGTGTTTTACATTCTGTTTTTGTCACCTGTTAATTTGTCATTTTATTCATTTTTTCTCTCTTTTTGTCTTTTATCACCTCACCTGGTTTATGTGGACTTCACACACATCTCTCTGGGCACTCTGGGTGTGTGTGGGGGAATGAATGACTTATTCTTTGGTACCGTGTGTGTGTGTGATTGTGGGTGAGCAGTTACCCTTCCCTCCTGAGTATTTGGCTCCCTCTGCTGAGCGTGTGAAGACAGAGAGAAAAACAAAACTGGCCAAACACAGGAAAGACGGTTCAGGGAAGGTGAGAGAGGGACAGAGAGTTTGATGCTGGAAACACAGTGGCCTAGATTCATGTGGCCATTATTGTTACACTGTTTGTCACGTCTTTTAATAATCTTGCATTTACAGTAACACATTTCTCTTCATGCATTTTAGTTACATGTTTCTGAAATATAGTGTAATAACAAAAATGCCTCTGCTCCTCCCTCTCATTCAGGTGGTTGGCCACGTCACGTCCAGTTACCCTGCAGGCAGTGGTGCAGCTGGGGGGGCGAGTGGGCCATTCAGCTGGGTCCCACAGCAGATGCTGAGTGAGGATGCAGCCGATGAAGAGGGAGAAAGCGAGGGAGATAGTGACCAAGGAGAGGAGGAACGAGGAGAAGGTGATGAGGCAGAGCTCGTCATTGACATACCCAATGAGTGAAGGTAATAGAAAAATAATGAAACATCTTTCTGTCTAGGGGACTTTTCATCATTATGGATATTATAAATTATATTATTAAATCAAGCTTAAACTGATTTTTTTGTCTGCCAGTATCATGGTTGTTGATCTGTTGACAAGATCTTGCAATATTTTATCCAAAACCAAGTTGCTTTTACTGGGCTCAACAACAAGAATGGCATGATAATGTTATCTAGTTGACTAACATACCGTTGATAATATTTTGTAATGTTTTTAAAAGAAGTCGGGCCAAGGCTGCATTTATTTGATCAAAAATGTAAATAATATTGTGAAATGTTACTGCAATATAAAATAACTGTGTTCTATTTGAATATATATATACATATATATAAATAAATATTAATATATATATATATATATATATATATATATATATATAAAATAAAAATATACATAAATAAAACAATTTTACTGACCCTAAAAATATGATAGTTTTGGTATTCTGTGTTGAAAACTACAATTTTTTTGCTTCATTTGCCATTGCTTTCCAGCAAAATTGTGTTTATGGATTCATGGAGTTACATTATAACAGTAACATTTCTGTTTTAAATTGTAATTGAAAATATAAGAAATATATATAAAAAAAAGCATTGCTAAAAATAATAATTGATCATTTTTGTGTGTTCAAAAATGTTGGCAGGACACCCAGAATACTCGTTCTGCACATCTTATATTGTTAGAGATCATTCAGATCCTTCCAAATTGATAGGTACTCTATTTATCCCATGTGGGAAATTGGAGATTGACCAAGTTACCATAATTTTGTGATGTGTGATTAAGAAATCTGGATCTGTGTTGTTAATGTTGGCATTTGGTTGTGTAACAGATTGAGTTACCAAAAAAAACCCTGACTCATCTTGAATACTGGATAGGCTCATTCTTTTAAGACTGCTGAGCTGCAGTACATTACCTGTGCAGTAAATTTAGAGTTGTGCGACAGAATTTAGACAATAAGGCAAGGAAAGAGAGTGAGCATAACAAAGAGAGGAAAAACACACTGAGATTGAGAGAGCCACACCCATTTTACCCAGGAGCACATCAACACAAGTCCAGGCAAGTTGCTATGGGATTATTAACCATGCTGAACATGAACTAGACACGACAGTATCTCTAACAGTTTATTAACACAATTCTGTATAACTTTAATAAACGATTCAATTCTTGTTTTTTTTTTGTCTTCACACAGGCTCCAAAGGAAACTGCAAACAAGACATTTGTTTTTATGTTGTTGTTTTTTTATTATTAAATATTTAAAATCTGTTTTCCTCTGTGTCTTGTCTACTTTCTTTATGCTGTTTTTAAATCAGTACACGGTACACCAGCACCTGTTTTTATACACCACCTCTGAATTATCAAATGAAATTCCAAATTTATGACTGAACATTTTTGTCCTGTTTTTTTTTTTTTCTCTCTCAGAATGTTCTTTTGTCCATAAAAAATGATGTAAGCTACAAAAATGGCATGTTTGCTATTGGGGATGCTGGAGAATGCTGACAAACAGGTAGTCATTAAGGCGTGTGAGAGGTGTGTGTACTGGTTTGTGTGCATTATAGTAATACTAAAATGAGGTGCAGTCAGAAAGAGTGATTTAGAAAGGGAGGGATGGATGAAAGGGAGTGAGTGTGAAAGGGGGAGGGATGAAAAAGGTTAGATTGTGCCCGGACTCATTCTGCATTGCTGAAGAGAGACAGAGAGAGAGAGAGAGAGAGAGAGAGAGAGAGAGAGAGACAGAGAGAGACAGAGAGAGTCTAGCAGGATCTTGTTTTGTGTAGCTGCTAGTTCAGCACTGTAAGCTGCAGTCTCTGTACCACTTCGCTGTACCGAGGGTTTTGGCCATGCTGTTTGCTCTGCCCAGGCTCGCTGTGTTTATCTCTGCAGTGCTGTTCAATGGTGTTGTAGTCTGGGCAAGTACACACACGGAGCTTGATCCAGGGTTTCTCCAGTGTCAAGAGTGTTTTTTCAGAGGCACACCTCCACAATCACTGTCTGAGCTGGGTTTGGAGCAGAGGTGTCACAGACATCTGACCGCACGGCCTTTTGCATCTCTCTATAACAGCGACTGCCAGACCACCGTTTATACAGCCCTTCACCTCGGTCTGAATAATGGATGGGGCAGGGGAGTGCACAGCACGGTGAGACTGTGTTTTTCTCTTCCTTAGGTACTGTATTGGAGCTTTGTGTAGACTTGAGCATGCTTATCTGCTAAAAGGCATTGCTGAATAGTAGTGAAGGCTGTTGTTATCTCACAGCCACAGTTTTTACACTAAATGAGTGTAAGCACAGGTTATAGATCGTTCATTACGGTTTCTGCTGACATGCAAATGTGCAAGGTTGTCAAGTCAAGTGGAAAAGAAACATTTGACCAATTCAGGGATCATATTTGTAAGGTCAATATGAAAATAAGATTCTTATTTTGGTCATTCAACACTTTTAAATTGTATGTCATACACTCAGTGACTTGGATACTCCTCTTCTATGATGAGCATGTTTTAATGTGTATTGGTATACCCAAATTGTATTTGCATACTCAAATATACACATACACAAAAGTATTTTTAATATATAATGTACAACTTATTATTTTTTTTTAACAAAATTGCTTCATCTGAAAAACATCTGCAAAATCATTAGAAAACAAACAGGAAGTGATGTCATAGAATGATTCCTGCAGACAATGCCAAGAAGTCTCTTAAAATATCAGATAATTGGACCTTCTTATGACAAAGCAGCGTTAATTCTGGCTGTAAAATGTTTTGCAATGACATGCATGAATATTTCATGAAACCAGCATCAATATACACATATATAAAGCTTTTCTAAGATTTACCTTTTCTTTACAATGGTCACTTTTGGACCAGTGCAATAGAGTTATACAGTGTACAGTAAAATGAAGGTAGAACTACACTATGTAAAGTATCCCTAGACAGTCTGGTTGCATTTAATTAATGGGCTATTCATGAAAGTGACTCAGAACAGGTTATATGATTCAGTCACACCTCAAAACAAATATCTCATTCCTCCCTGTCAACCACGAATCTCCCAATTTTCAAACTCTTGGTGGGAAAATTTTGTTGTTGTTTACTCGACCCCACGCCTTTCTTTTGCCGAACACAAAGGGAAGAAATTCTGAAAATTTTGTTTTTTTGTTTTTGTCTATACAATGAAGGTCAGTGGGGTCCAACGAAGTTTTGACCCCACCGTTCTTCAAAATACCTTCTCATGTGTTCTGCAGAAGAAAATACAGGTTTGAAATGACATTACTGTAAATGACAGGACTGTAAATGATGTAAATCATGGTTGTGCAGGTATAGTGTGGAGAAATACATTGTATACTTTTGCGATCAAACAAGTAATTATACATTACCTGTCTCTCTCAACACATCAGCAGGATGCCAAAGAAGAAATCAATGAGGATTCCCATGTGGCCATCCCAGCTCTTTACAGAGGAACCACCAGCCTGACCCCATCTCCCTCAAACTCCCCTCTCCTGAAATGGGATGCTCTGACGGCACAGCTGACACAGAGCTCTCTCGTACCGATGTGTTCAGAGATGAGCGGGGACATTTATGTGCATATTGGTGTGGGTGGGTTTAACGAGTGTGGGGGGAAACTATTGTGGTCAGCAGTGTGTTGTGCTGCTTCAGATGGAGATGGTAGTTTCAGTGTTGGGCTAGTGAAGGAGGGGGATGTGAGAGTGCTCAGCATTGAGGAGTTAGAGGAGCTGATAGGAGTTACAAGCCTTTTTTCAGGAGGTTGTGGTAAAATGGGACATCAGAGAGAAAAAGAACTGACATCGTTCTTCATAAAGCAACTGAATGACAACAAAACACCCATTGGCGTACATAACACTCAGGAAGCAGCAACACCAGAATCAGATAACGAGGACATGATAGAGCATGTGAATGGCGAAGCCCCAAGCTACACTTCCTTCAGCTCAGACATGGACATTGAGGAGAGCACCAATGAGACTGAGAGCTCAGAGTCGGCTCTTCTCTACATTCTGTCTTCCACCATCTCTCTCCTTTATGCCCCCTTTTCTCCGATCGTAAACAAGGCCATTAACTTTCCCTTCCAGGTCGCCTACGTTCTTCAGGAAGATCTGGCCGTTCTGGCCTCGGTGCCTGTTGACAGCTTCACTTTGGTCAACAACTTGTGCTCAGGAGTGTCTTCTGGGGTTTCATGCATTTTTAGCACCTTGTACCAGACAGGAGAAACAATCGTGTGCACGGTTTACTTTTGCCTCAGTCCATTAGTCAGCAGCCTTGCCCTGGCATTCCAGGATGGATTCATAGGGACGGGCACTCTGGTGTCGGATGCCTTGGGGGTCATGACGGGAACGGTTGGGAATGGGTTCAGGATCATCAAGATGGTTCTTGGGTCAGTTGGGGATCAGGTGGTAGATTACTTGTGTGCCGTATCCTCTGAAATGGGCCACCAGGTCTCAACAGTAGGTAGTGGGATTGGAACACTTACCTGGAGAAGTGGAAGAGGGGTGGGAAACCTATTAAACATCGCTGTGTCCGTCATAGGCGGACTGGTGGAGAATACAATAACCAATGTCCTGGAAGCTTTTGGAGGGAGCTCAGGGGGATCATCCGAATCGCAAATGCCTGAATTGCTGACATCTGAAGTGGTTGGTGAATAGATTCAAAAGTGTGTAATGCCTCTGTTAGAAACCTTATTTGCATATTACACCACAAATAGAGTCCAAGAGTTCCCACCCACTTTTTTAGCAGTGTTGGTTCTGGAAGTATTTTTCCCATTCACTTTTCTCAATTGGGATTTGTAACAAAGCAAACAAGGTAAATCACAACATTACAAAATTTGATTAAAGCAAAAGTCTTTAAAAATCTAACAAAAAGACAACTCCATTTGCATTGCAATATAATTGACAAAACTATATATATATATATATATATATATATATATATATATCAAGAGTCAAGAGTTTTGTCAAGAGTTGGTGCAATTTGCTTGTTTCGATTCTCTGATTGGTGGAGATCAGGGTAATGTTTTTAACACAAATTAAAAAAAAATTGAAATAATGCTGACCAAAGGTTTTTACAAAAGAACATCTATAAGCAACCTCGTAGCTCAAAGTAGGTCTATCTTATTGTTAAAAAATCAATTCCCTGGTGAAATTGAATGGGATTTTTTACTGCCAGAACCCAACTGTCACTATATAGTGTCTTGTGGACTTGACAATAAATATTGACCATGGCTTGTGAATATAAATTATGAAACCTCTATATTGCTGTCTGCCTTTAAAAGGAGGAATGAATGGTGCAATGCAGGGTGATTTGATGATCCCATTTCAAGGTGTTGAGCAATGTTTATTAAGTGACAAACAAGTGATGTAAGTGTGTGAGATGTTTATGTCATTTAATCTGACATACAAAGGCCTTGCTGTGTCATGGTTTATATGCTGCAATAAAACAACTTCTGTGTGAGTCATGCTTTCTGTCATTTATAGGCCAATCTACGTACGTATAAGACCTTCTTCAAGGTAATCTGTATCTGGAATCTGAATAAGAATTGTTTTTAATTTACCATCATCACTTGTACTAATGTCAGAATAGCCCCTGGCTGTACATAATGCTTTACAATGATCAGTCATTATAAAGTGGAACTTTTATGAAGTGATGAAAAAAGAAATACATATATGCCTAATCTTAATGTACACACATTGTGGCAAATAGCACATTTAACTATAAACATACATTTTTCAATCTTGGTTATTTAAGTCAAGGGTTTTTCTGCCATAGAGCCCAAATATGACCATCCACCTCTTGTGAGGGACCCCATTAAAAAAAAAAAAAAATTGCCTACCTATCTACATTCTCGAATACTGTGAAATGAATTTTATATAGCCTATAGCCTTTGACTAAAACATTATTTGGAAAATATTTGTTTTATTTACAGTACTCATGTATTTATTTAAATCTTATTTTGATTTTTTAATTTTTTTAACTAACTCTCCTGTGGCTTGAAGGTCCCTGGAGCCCAGTTTGAAAACCCCTGATTTAAATTAACGTATTAATACAAAAACCTTAGTATAGAGAAATAAAAACATTTGTGAATAGAAAATTTGAATATCAAAACTAAACAGTTAAAAATATTTTCAATACATTTATTTTTATATTCTTATATAATTCTTATATAATGTCTTTCACGGGCATTACACTTAAGTGACAAAAAAATTTTTTTATAGGCTATTCATAAAAAAATCCATAAAAATCTATAATTTAATTCGTAAACTGCTCAGAAATCAGTTCTACGTTTTTCAGTGGCTTGCATCATAACGTTTACTGTTTTATGTTATTACCGTAGATTACCGTTTATTGCGTCAGACGGATGCGCTTTACGACGGTTAATATCACTTTACGGCAGCGCCTAGTGAAACGCTGGAGTCTGTGCATGCTGGATTTAGGCTGACGTTTCCCCACTGCTGTCTACAGGTGAGTTATTCATGCTCTCCAGTGAGACTTTAACAAATACAGATGCTAGCGTTTATGTGCTGATCAATAAATCTAAAAGTGTGCATGTCTTATAGTGATTTCTTGACTTGAGTAGTCATATCTCCGCTGAAATAAACAGATCATGCGTTTAAGTTAGCCAATTAGCCGGTCTATCTTTAGACTTCAAATCTCTCGAAGTTATTATTGAAGCATTACATTGTTATGTAAATGCCAGAAGGTTACTGAGTAAAATAGTCCATTGCGATCTTGAAATGAATAAAAGTATTTAAGGAAATCTTAAATCAGTGAGATCACATTCTGAATCTGATAGCTACTAATATTGTCAAGTTCAGTTTGTCTTTTGAACAGTTTACATAAATGTAAAACGAAACTCACAGAAGTTAGACCATTTCACAAGATGTAAACCACACTGGTCCAGAAACACTTCCTGTTTCAGTTTGTAACTGTTTTCTTTATTTCACATGTAAAGAAAACATCATAAAGATGTTTGTTTAACTTTTTGATTCAGTTTTAAATGTTCTGTTGATTGTATTTTATCCCAGCTTTTATGTAGTGTTGAAAAACTGAAACAGGAAGTGCTTCTGGACCAGTGTTGTTTACATCTTGTGAAATGGTCTATATAAGAAAAGTAGTTGATATTCAATTACTCTACATATTAATATTTTAAACATGTTATTTATTGACCTAGAATATTGAAAACTGAGTCTGACACTTTTGCTTTTATTTGTGTTTTGAAGCGTAAACGATATTAGGTTTTCAATTACATTTCTATCATTTAAAGTTTAATAATAGTCATTGTGGCGTCCTCAAAACTGCAGATATTAAGTACAATTTTAAATTAAACTTAAAGAGATACACATTATTCACTCGTTTTGTAAATTGTTAATTGACATGACCCATATCTCCCTGTCAGATGGACACTCTTTACATCTCTTCGCACCCTGATGACTTCAGGAGTTTGTTACCCTTAATCGCTGCTGAATTCTGCCGATCTCCTCCACGAATAGTCCATGAGGACCCTCCGGCTGAGGTGAGCAGGTCTCGTCCTGCACTGGTCTTAGAGGGTGCGGGCGGCACGGTGCTCACCGGAGCCAATGCTGTGAGCTGGTACCTGGCAGCAGCGGGGAAACGGACAGGCTGCGATAAGAAGCAGGAAAGTCAGGTGTGGCAATGGCTGAGCTTTGCTGAGAACGAGCTGATGCCTGTGGCCTGCTCTGTGGCATTCCCTCTGCTGGGGATCATGGGAGTTGATAAGAAGGTGTGTATGTCTTTTGTGTGTGCCTTGATGGTATGACTGTCTGTGTATGTCGTGTGTTGATTGATATGCATCACTGAGTGTACGGGTCTGTAAGTGAAAGAGACATACTTTAATTTGCCCACTGTATTTAACCCCATCCACACATTGGGAATAGTGAACACACACAGACATAAACACACTGCAAACTGTGGGCACACACACCGGGAGCAGCTATTTTGCTGTGGTGCCCGGGGAGTGATTGGGGGTTAGGTGCCTTGCTCAAGAATCTTTCCTGCCGGTATTGAGAATTTAACCTGCAACCTTCTCTTAAAATTAGGGCATGACTGCCCCTGTATTTTTATTTTTCTAAACTGTTCCTGGTTGAGAAGCTGCACTAACTTAAATTTGACATTTTAGCTTCTGCAGAGTTCCAGAGCAGAGCTACTTCGTGTTCTCAAAGCTCTAGATGAGGCTCTAGCACCGCGGACATTCCTGGTAGGAGAGGGTGTGACTCTGGCTGATATGGCTGTTGCTATGGCAGCACTGCTGCCATTCAAATATGTGAGTGCATATCTGTAATCTTTAACCATTGTTTTATCATGTGTTGAACTGTTTTATCATGACGGCTTGTATTAATATAAGGGATAATAAAAAAAAAAAAATCTGTTATAATTTACTCACCTTTGTGTTGTTCCGTACATGACTTCTGTGGAACATCATAGAAGATATTTCGAAGAATGTTTCAGCTGTTTTTATTCATACAATGAAAGTCAGTGGGGTCCAAAAACAATGTTGAATGCCATTGGCTCTCATAGTGTGGATAAAAAAAATTAATATTTTTTCAAGATATCTTGTACTTCAAGAAGAAAGTAAGTCATACGGATAGGTGTTATTTACTTATGTAAAATGCCATTTATGTATGGTATTTATATAAAAAAAAAAAATTGAATAAGCTTTTATTTTTTAACTTAAACAACATTGGTACATGTTTTGAATGAAAATGATTTTTGGTTGAACTGCTTCAACTTTCAGTTGCTGTAATCAATTCCTCATTATAGTACTTTTATTTAAGGCATTGGAGCCTTCAGACAGGAAGTCCTTGGTGAATGTGACCAGATGGTTTAATACATGTGTGAACCAGCCACAATTCCTGAAGGTGTTGGGTAAAATCTCACTGTGTGAGAAAATGGTGCCCGTGACCCCCAAACCCAGCGCTGCCGCCAATGCCACATCAACTGCTGCTTCTGACGCTGCTACGCCAGACAACACAGCTAGTAATGGTAAGGATTTGTGTATTTGGAAGTTGTTGCTTTTTAATTACTTTAGAAATGTGTCATAGCGTTTTGAGGTATATTTTAAGACCATTAAAACAGCTCACATGATCTTTCAGATAGACTTTAGTCTTATCAGAGACTGAAAGCATTTTAGAAGTCTAAGTTGCCCCATAATAATTAGTTTGTCCTCTTGTTCCTGTGATTCTCAGGTCCTCCTAAGACAGAGGCTCAGCTGAAGAAAGAGGCCAAGAAGCGAGAAAAGTTGGAGAAGTTTCAACAAAAGAAAGAGATTGAGGAGAAGAAGAAGATGCAGCCTCAGACTGAGGTAGAGCGATGAATCTCAGCATATTATTCTCTTATTGACATTAGCAGCGTTTCCATTACCCTTCATATTAGGCAAATTGAATTGTGTCAATTTCACAAAAATCCTTGTTTATTGCAAAAAAGTATTTGGGCATTTACAGTCACCTTAAAAAATAATGACCACCTGACTTAGAAGATGCGGTGTATTTGGGGTCCTTAGAAAACCAGTAATATCTAACTTTTTTTTTCATATAAATTTGTGAATATTTGAAGCGTTTAATAAAGGAGCAAAAAGCCATAAACAAAAATCTGAATAAACAAAAATCAAACATTTTTTGTGCAGCATTTGGTGTAAACAGTTCAAATTAAAATGTTCGTGTTCAACCTTGCGTTTTAAAAATACAACCAGCGTTCATTTTTCGCTTTTGCAATTACGAGTTAACTTTCCCTGCCATTCATGCTTGAATAACACACCACCTCTCCTCCATTAATAATGTCTAGTGTAGTGGCTGTGATATAGGCTATAAACCTACCAATGTCCATTGCCATGATTTTTGGAATGACTTATCGCAAGAGGAAGAAAAGACGTTTTAGTCGCTTTACATCAGTTAATGAAAACGGTGTCATTTCGCAATAGTTTTTTATCAACATTTAGAAAAAAAACGCAAAAGTTTTGCGTAAATCTGTAATGGAAACACACCTATTCACACAAGCAGAAATAGAAAGAAAGCAGAACGCAGAACTTGCCATATTGTTTATTCTTCCATCCCCTCCAATAGAAAAAGGCCAAACCGGAGAAGAAGGAACTGGGTGTGATAAGCTACAACATACCCACGCCTTCTGGAGAGAAAAAAGGTGTGCTTTTGCTTCCGTTAGCAGGAATTGTGTTTTTTAGATTTGCCATGCACCCATCTAATCATTTATGTGTTTCTCTTTGTGTGTCTCAGATGTCCTGAGTCCTCTGCCTGATTCTTACAGTCCTCAGTATGTAGAAGCGGCCTGGTACTCCTGGTGGGAAAAACAGGGATTTTTCAAGCCTGAATATGGGGTATAACATGAAAATCATAATGTGTTTTTATGCTCTAATTAGGGGTGTAATTATACACAGATTCATATTGAACTGTTCGCTATGAGGCTTTTGATTCGGTTTTTGGTAC